GCAGTTCCGGGAGTTAGATCACGGCGTTCCCTTCCGGCGCATGAACTGGAGGAGTCTCCCTGTGGAAACTGTTCGTGACATCCTGGGTTTTCCTTCTTCCAGTCAGGAGTCTTGTGTCCAGAAACATCACTCGCCCAGCAGCGCAATGAGATTTTCAGACTCGTAAAACTGGAAACTTGCTTCTCTCCTCCAAGGTGGAGGATTGGGGCCAGGTGGCATGTCTCCCGGTGCTTTCCTGGACCACCTCCAGCGTTCTCTGGCCTGGGGCTCTGCCTCTCGAGGCGGGCAGGCACGGAGAAGGCTGCTGGGTGGCCCAGATATACCTTGAAAGGACCCGCCAGCCGGTTCCCCACCCAGCCCCCAAACCTCCCGCTAGCAGGCCTCCGGCGAGGGCCCCACACCAGGATCAGAGGGAGCGGGTGAGGGCGTGGACTGCCACAGCCCTTGCGCCCGCGTCTCCCTGGGCACAGGGAAAAATCCACATCCAGTGGGCATTGCATCTCCTGTGGCTTCCCTTATGCCTCTTTTTCTCTTGGGCTCAGTTGCTAAAAGGCAGATTTTAACCATATCGTTTTTTTTAAAAAGTGTAGCTATGTCAGAAGCCCATCCGTTACTGAACACTTGCCAGAAAGAGAGAGAGAGAAGGCCCTTGCCTGCCTGCAGAAGGACAGCAAGGGAAGAGACCAGCCTGGCCTACTGTGGTGGGGAGTTCCACAGTCTGGGGGCACCCACCGGGAAGGCTAATCAACCAAACCTGCCTCTTTCTTTATTGCTGTCCTGGAGTGGAGGGGGGCGGTAACAAAGTGGTGTCGCTTTAGGCAGGGCTATGCAGAGAGTTTTGCAGCTGGGGAGGGACTTTTTAACCAGGCCGAGGATCTTGCCAACAGCTTCTGGCATCATGACCCTCTGAGGATCTCACCCAGCCTTGCCTTCTCTGCCAGGGTGCAACTTCCCAAGGCTAAGCAGGAGTGTGTGTGTGTCTATGTGTGTGTGTTTGTGGGGACCCCCCAGACGATGCCACTTCTCCTCTTGTGGTGACAGCCACCCAAGGAGTCACTAGGGCGACCCGAGACGTGGGAGGGTGTCGTAGGGGGGAGGAAAGGACGCAGCCCAGAGAATCGGTATTCTCCTTGAGGCTTCCAAATCATTGTGGTCCCCGATAGGACATTTTTTGTTTTCCAAAGATTAGCCAATGCCCCGGCGAACCTTATCAACCCCTAGTGGGGCACACGATAGGCAAAGCATCGCCTCTCTAAAAATGTTTGGGAGAGGCTCAGAAAAATGCACCTTTCTTTTTTAAAAACATGGCCCTGGAGAAGAGCAAAACAGGGAGGACCGGCGTGCAGAATTAGCGCCGTCCGGGAGCCGCTCTGCACGTAAGAAAGGGAATGGCCTTCGCCCGGGTGACCTCGAGGTGCCCCTGCTGTGGAGGGGGGGGTAGATGCTTCTCAATGGCCTTGGGTCCAGAACCTCCCTCCCCATACCTACTGCCTTGGATGGCACCGGCCAGTCCTGGGGGAGAGACTCTTTTGCACACACACATCCCCATTCTCCATGTCTGTCGCTGCTGGTCAGGCATGCCACTGCGGGAGTGAATTTCCTGCTCACGAATCGAATCCTCGAGCGCTGTCCCCTGCTCCCCACCGCTGCCAGAGGGACAAACTTTGGAACGTCAAAAGAGGGCAGCCGGCTGCCAGTCTGAGCGAGCCCGAGGCTGGTAGCCGTCGCCCAGGTGAGCACGCCCTGGAGGCCGAGGAGGAGGAGGAGGACGAAGACGAGGCACCCTCCTGTGGTTCCCACGCTCGGGCAAACCTTGCCAGCTCACCCTGAGTCACTGCCAAATCCCAGACAGGCTTCCCCCCCCCCTTCTGCCTCCTGAGAAACGGAACTTGGCTGCCACCCTCCAGAAGCGCAGCCCTTGACAGAGCGCAGGAGTCACACCGGGCCTCGGTTCCCACGGCCCAGCCTTTCCCAGGCTGGGAGAGTGAGCCAGGATGCCTCTGCAGGCGGGCGGGCAAGCAGAGGGAGGAAGTGGAGCCAGGCCGTCCCCATCCCTGGGTCAACACCCGAGGGTCGCTCCGGGCCGGCCTGGCCCACCGTTCCGATTTTTCTGACCGTTGCCTGGGAGGGTGCTCCTGAATTCTCACCCAGGCGTAGGGGGGCTTGGAGGAAATCAAGGGCCGTTTCTCCCCATCAAGGATCTAGTCCTGATGTTCGCAATTCTGACTGCCGGAATGATTTGGGCAAGGACTGGGGAATGCCCTGGAAGTCCAAGGAATGTCTGTCTGTCTGTCTACCTACCTACATACCTACCTATCTAACTGGATCTATCTATTAATCTGTTTATTTCAATGAATCTCTCTCCAGTTTTCCTGCCAACCCATCCATTGTTTCTCCTTCCCCCCCCCCAGACCCAACCACTCTGATGGACAGCTGATGGGTCCCAGGACTATGTTGGGTGCCCCTGGCTAAGAGGGGTGGGGCAGGCCCCGGGGGTCTCTTTCCATCAACCCCCCCCCCACCTGCACCCCACAAACGTGGCCTGTGCAAAGGTCATGCCAGCTGGCAAGTCCTCGGCTGGTGCCACCCCTCGGCGCTCGTTCAGCTGGGCCCAGCCCTCCCAGAGGAAAAAGATTTTTCTCATCGGAACAAGGGAGGCTGTGTGTCATCCGCATTACATGCCCTCCGAAGCCTTCCCAGGGAGCTTGGCGGCGCGCGCCACCTCTCTCCTCGGCGCTCCCCGGTGCGGCTCGCCTGTAATCCGAGTGGGACGGGTCTCTCCTGTGAAAGGAAAAAAAATCAATTTCTTCTGTCGTGTTCCCATGGCTTCTTCTACCCCTTCTTTGCAGCGCCTCCCAAAAGAACTGTACTTGGGCTTTTTTGGAGGGGGGGGTTGCGCATGTGTGCACAGGAGTAAAGCCGGAGATGGTGTTTTTGCCAAGCATGTGTCTCATACAGTTTTTGCCTTGACTTAGCAGCAAAAGGAACAGCCAAGGGAGGGGGGGGTGCTGCAAACCTCAAAAAAAACCCACCCTCCCAACATACAAACCCTTGATAGATAGATCTTCAGGGTATTGGCGACACTGGGGAATTCACTGGGGTAAGGGAGGCGCAATAGAGCCAAAATATCTGTTGAATCTGCAGCCTGGTCAGTCTGCATCCCTTTCATTCCTTTTGCTTTCGGCATGCTTGTTGTTGTCAGCCAGTGCGTAGGATTGATCCTCACCTCCTTTATAGGGTTGTGGTGACAAAGGCAAGCAAGCAGAGAGCCCTTTGAGCATTTGACGTGGGCTGCGGAGATGCTTTGTGTACAGACAGAGACCTTGATTACGAGTCTTCCCTATAAGAGTGGGGTGATGGCCGGATTGTGATCCGAACATTTCAGAGGAACGGCAAGATTTTAAAGGATGGTGTCCAGGATCATTTCCTCTTCCGTCTTTTCCTTCGCTAAGCTGCGTTGGGTTCTTTTCAGGAGGAGCGGGCATTCAAAATATTTTAATTGCATTAAATAAATTAATGCTTTGAACTGGGCAGAAGTTTGGTTAAGACCTAAGCAGGGCAGTCTCCTTCCGGAGTTTGGGGAGGCTGCTGGTGCATTTTCAGTCTCGCCCGCTTTCCGGCCGAGGGTGTCCCCCAGCAGGACTCGGGAGGCGCAGAATCACAAGGGGAAAATGTTGAACTTTGGGTGGCCACAGAGGAATTTTAGCTCCCGTGGAGGGGGATGTGACCCCCTGGGTGTTAACCCTGCTGTGAAAGACCAGGGCCCCAATCCCTGGCTTCCGTGGGGCGAAAGAAAGGGCCCCCTTTGCCAGAGGGGTGTTGGGTGAAAGCATGAATGCCAAGCCACCCTCGGCCTGGAGCTGCTGACACAGAGGAACCGAGGATAGCCGTGCTGGCTGCCCTTTGTCCTTGGTACATTGGGACAATAAACTTTATGAGGCCGAGAGGCAAGGAGACCGGTGGGTGATTCAGCCCGGAGCTGGCTTGGTGTGTAGTGTTCGGTGCAAAGGGTTCAAGACGCATTGCTGGCAGCCCCTCAAGTTCGTTAGATGTGCCCTGTGAATGACTAATTGCAGATCCCCAGGGAAATGGGTGCCTCTGCCTTGTTTATTTTATCAGGGCACCCTCACAAAGGAAACGGGGGGGGCTCATAAAAAGGCTATTTTGCCAGGGTTTGGTGGCGTGGCCTTGGAGTGCCACGGAACCCCTTCCCAAACCCGCCCCCCAGCATGTGCAAAGCTTGGCGCTTTTATCAGAGACTCTCAAAGGCCATTTCTTTCCAAAGAGAAACAAGCCACCTCCCGTAGGTTCGCACGCGGCTGACGGACCTGATTCGGCTGGTGTGCAAAGAGAACGAGGCCGGACTTTGCCACCCAGGTCCTTGGTGGGCATTGCCTTTGCAGGACCTCAGCTGCTGGTCTCAAGGAGAGGGCTTGGCCAGGCTCTTGGGCTTGCAAGACCTGAGCGGCAGGAACCACGGCCCTAAGGTTCTGGTCTTCCTCCTCTCCTGGGCGCTCCCAGGCATTCCTGGGAAGTAAGTCATCTTTCTCACTCGACACACAAAGACACTAAAATCTCTGTGGCGGCTGTCGAAGCTGTGCAGGGACCTTCCCGCCCTTCTTCCCCGGAGATGGCTGAAACTCTCGAGGAGACCTTAACACGGGTGGCAGTCCCTCCCCGGGTGGTGGGCCTCTGAGGTGGAGTTTCCAAACTTTCTCTCTTTGGGTGAGAAATTCCAGGAGCCCTTTGGGGTCGCTTTGGCTGACGTTCTTGCTGTTCAAGGAGCTTCTCCCAACCCTGGGTGGTGGAGAGAGGGGCCTGATCCACCGTCCATAGCTGGGGTGGATGTGCAGCTCCCTTGTTGCAGAGCGATAGCAACGGGGGGCCAAGAGCACGGGGAAATGTCCCTTTTGGGGGAGGCGGGGAAGGTTTGTCAGAGGGAAATGGGGAACGAAACTGCAAAAAATCACAGCTGGGTCTCCCCTATTCTGTCTGGCCAGGCCTGCAACTGCAATCAGTACCTGAAGATCCCTAAGGAGGAGATGGTGCAAATGATGAAAGAGTCGGTCCCCTTGAAGGCGGAAGACGCTCCTTCAGGTAATATGGAGGGATGAAATCTGGGGGGTGGGGGGTGGGATGGGGAGCATGCTGAAAAGCTGCATCCGGTTGAGGATCTTCCGGTCTGCCATTCATCCGTCCTTTTAAAAGCTCCTGGCAGGCTCCTAGTCCTGATGGAGGAAGAGGTCGGCCTTAAAGCATCTTCATCGAGGCCCAGAGCTTGTAAGGGAAAAAATGCAAGGAACAGAAAGGCCTGCAATTAGCGTCTTTTTGAAGTAACAAGAATGCAGCGTGGTTACATTTTGGAAGTAGTGAATTAAGGAGGAGCAAAGTTACTTCAACGGGGATTAAACAACGATGGTGGGCGTTGCCGTTGTCCTGCGCCTCCGAGCGGCCTTCGAAAATCAGAGGCGAATTTGATCCTGCTTCCCAGGGTCCCGCCTCAGGAACAGAGCAGCGCTAGGAATACGGACAGAAGAATAGGCATTGATTTTGGATAGGCTTCTCTTTCCAAAGGATGAAATAGATTTTTCTGTTTCATGGAATGCAGACCAAAACAAACCCTCGCATACCGAAGTTTCCACGTGAGACCTCTCTATAGTAAAGGCACTCATGCTCACATTTCTCTGTAGGGTTAAATGTTAATGATAGGGTTATTTATTTCCCGTATACGCTGTACTGCAGCTAAAACTGTGCTCTTCACATTTCTCTGTAGGGTGAAATGTTAATGATAGGGTTATTTAGTTCACCTATATTCTCCATTTCTCCCAGATGTGGAACTTAAAGCGGCTATGTTATTTTTCACCACAACCAAATAATTCCCTTATTTCAGGGCCTTACTCTCCCACCCCGCCACCTCCATCACAAAATGACCCCCCCCATACACACACACCTTTTAGCAAATATGATATGGAAACAGGCGGTTCCCCCCGCTTTCTCCTGCTGAGAGAGGCTGGGTTTGACAGACCCAAGACTT